AACTGCAGGAAAGCTTTTGGTATGTGCAATACAGCTACATAAAACTTCTTTAGTATTCATGTTAAGTTTGATAAAGTACCTTAGTATTTTTTCTAGTGTTTTCCAACATTTTCATGCACGCTGTGTGCTTGTTTGTACTATCATTTTATTTTAAATTCTTCAGATGCCCTTTACCTTTGCCAGTTTAGAATCATTTGTTTTAAGGGCATCTGAGGGTTGGTTCCAGAACTGAACTAATTGTAAAGTAAATACTGGGGTACTATACGGTCATAGGTTATGTTAATACATGTATAACATTTTGTTCTGATAGAGGTGGCATACAGGAAAAGAAACAATACTAGATATCACTTCAAAGGAATAAAACAGCTTCATCTTGTAGGTGTATTTTATATAAGGATCACTACTTCATGTCTGATGTACTGAAAGTTATTCATAATCTGTTTGACTGTAATTTTTCATATTTTCAACTTCTATCCAGCTTAGTCAATTTTAATTAAATTTTGTGCAAAGCATACCCCAGGAAGGGGGGATGGAGTGTCAAATATGTCTCTGTCCCTGTCAATATAATTTCAAAGCAGTTAGTAAGGTTTGGGTCAATTTTAAATCCTCTTTAGCAGAACCATTGGGCTAAAAACAATACTAATGTGAAAGCTTTATCATTAAGTGTAGAGATGTTTTTGAAGATTATGTACCCCTAATGTACTGATAGTGTTACATTAGAAGTCTAAAAATTGCAAGGAATAGGTGTAAAATCTTTTTAAAATCTCCTTCTTAACAATCAGAAACTAACATACTGTCTAATTAATATGCAACATCGTTTTGTGTGTTGAATGATGATTCCATTTTGATAAAAATATGGCGGATGGGGGGTAAGATGAAGATGCAGTTAGACATAGAAGAATAAAAAGAGTTGATAGAATTTAGATTTTCTTCCATTTTATTTATCAATACATATTTCTGAATAACAAATATACTTCTACTTCTTGGTTGGGTTTGATCAACATAAAGGGTGATCTTGCTGTACTCAAGAAAAACATGTTTTATACGGCAAAGAAATGCCTTTATCTAATTGCAGAATGAATAAAATGAACAGAGGCAGAACTGAAGGAGATGCATGAAATGAGGAATATTTCAAAGATTGCCTGAGCATAACCACTGCTACTGGATAAACATATGGCAATATAAAAGAGCAGGGTCATTGGAGGAATCATACAGTATAGGCCATGAGAGACCCTGAAGAAGAAAGTATTGAACAGAAACAAAAATAAAACCATTTTGACATTTATTGAAATATAGGATCAAAGTCTTACATGTAAAATTTGGGCATGTAATGACTTTTCTCTAGCTCTAAGATTTATAACAGTGATGATTTGATTTAATATCTTTATCCCGATTTGTCGAAAAGATTTGGACATAGTGCATCAATTATTTTAATGTTTTGATACAACGAATTCATTCATTGTACTTGTAACTGAGTTTTCTGGCGCGACACTGTTTTATCGGCTTCAAAACTAAGTTTGTGATTTTCAAACCAGATTAATGAGATCATGTAATATCTTTTAACATCGGTGACTATTTAATCCATTCTTTTACATCTCAGAAGTATTTTTATTATTACAGGGAAAATATGCATTGTACATGTATCTGTAATAAACAGGATTATAGAAATTTTCCATATAATACAAAACAATCTTAGCAACTGAAGGCAAATATTTTATCATGGTTGTGATCTATTTATCAATATGGTTTTCAGCATCTTGCTCTACCTGTAATGACTTGCTCCAAGTTCCAATATTGAAATTTAAATTTTGCAAACATGGTTATAAAGTTCTTTAAAAGCCAAATAGTTTAGGCACAAAATGCTTATATATTTCCTGTCATTTGTAAAGTGTACACTGAATGAGATGTGGAATGTTAGAATTAAAGTATTAAATATGTTTTGGACTTATGTATGCTTATGCAGATAAATTTGAATTCAACTAGGGAAGGTAAATGTCATACTTATTGGGTTTGCAATCTAATGCAAGAGTATAAATATCAAAGACAAATTTGACAATTTTAATGAAGGGTATAAGTAACCCAAGAAGAATTGGACAGGTAAACATCACCTGTTGGGTTTTATTCCAATGTTGGGATGTAATATCCACGAAGAGTTGAACCAATGTCAAATACCTACTGGGTTTTCTTTCCTATGAAAAAAAAATTGAGTAACCCAAGAAGAATGTCCAATACCTTTTAGTTTATATACTATTGAAGGGATGAAGATATCCAAGAGGAATTGGACAGGTGTCCATTACATGTTGGGTAGTATTCTGATGAGGGGATTCTCAAGAAACCTAAGAATTAGACAATTCCCATTGCCTGTAGGGTGGGATGTTGATATCCAAGTGGAGTTGGACGGATGTCCATTACCTGTTGGATGGTATTCTGATGAAACAATTCAAGAAACCCAAGAAGAATTGAACAAGTGTCCATTACCTGTTGGGTGGGATGTAGATATCCAAGAGGAGTTGGACAGGTGTCCATTACCTGTTAGGTGGTATTCTGATGAAACAATTCAAGAAACCCAAGAAGAATTGGACAAGTGTCCATTACCTGTTGGGTGAGATGTAGATATCCAAGAGGAGTTGGACAGGTGTCCATTACCTGTTGGGTGGTATTCTGATGAAACAATTCAAGAAACCCAAGAAGAATTGGACAAGTGTCCATTACCTGTTGGGTGGGATGTAGATATCCAAGAGGAGTTGGACAGATGTCCATTACCTGTTGGGTAGTATTCTGATGAAACAATTCAAGAAACCCAAGAAGAATTGAACAAGTGTCCGTTACCTGTTGGGTGGGATGAAGATATCCAAGGAGTTGGACAGGTGTCCATTACCTGTTGGGTTGTATTTTGATGAGGAGATTCAAGAAACCCAAGAATTAGACAAGTGTCCATTGCCTGTTGGATTAGATGTAGATATCCAAGAGGAGTTGGACAGATATCATTACCAGTTGGCTGGTATTCTTATGAAACAATTTCAGAAACCCAAGAAGAATTGGACAAGTGTCCATTACCTGTTGGGTGGGATGTAGATATCCAAGAGGAGTTGGACAGGTGTCCATTACCTGTTGGGTAGTATTTTATGAGGAGATTCAAGAAACCCAAGAATTAGACAAGTGTCCATTGCCTGTTGGGTGGGATGTTGATATCCAAGAAGAGTTGAACGGATGTCCATTACCTGTTGGGTGGTATTCTGATGAAACAATTCAAGAAACCCAAGAAGTGTCCATTACTTGTTTGGTGAGATGTAGATATCCAAGAGGAGTTGGACAGGTGTCCATTACCTGTTGGCCGTGTTGGGTGGTATTTTGATGATGCAATTCAAGAAACCCAAGAATTAGACAAGTGTCCATTGCCTATGGGGTGGGATGTAGATATCCAAGAGGAGTTGGACAGATGTCCACGAGCATTACCTGTTGGGTGGTATTCTGATGAAACAGTTCAAGAAACCCAAGAAGAATTGGACAAGTGTCCATTACCTGTTGGGTGGGATGTAGATACCGGTATCCAAGAGGTGTTGGACAGGTGTCCATTACCTGTTGGGTTGTATTTTGATGAGGAGATTCAAGAAACCCAAATAGAATTGGACAATGTACACATGTTCAATTGTTCTTGGGTAGTTTAATCCCTTCGTCAAAATACAACCCAACAGGTATTGGACACCTGTCCAATGCCTGTTGGATACCTTCATTCTGTCTAACATGTAATGGGCATTTGCTTATTATTAATTGGTCATGACTCAAAAAGGTTTTTCCTTAAATGCTTAATTTTGTTATTCAAGAAAGGTTGAACGGAGTCTGAGATGTGTTGAGTTGTGTTTTCACAATTCAGTTTTTTTTTGCACTTAGGTATTCAAATATTTTAATATTAGATATTTTGAAATATACAGGTGTACATGTATATCCTTATTGCTAAGCACAAATTAGTTAGGTGTTACAATAAAAGAGCTATATCACAGAAATTGACAAAAATATGAGTTTAAAACCAAAGGTTTTCAGTCTTGTCTGAATTTACCAGCAAATATTAAATATATAATAAATTTGAAATGAATAATAAACAATAAGAAAAAAACCCAATAAAATACGGACATGAGGATTAATATCCAATAAGATTTGAACAGTAACTACCCAAATAATGCTCTCTCGTGTGTACACTTTTTTTGTATCCAATAAGCAGTATCCAATAGGACTTGGACTTGATGTACCCAATATATAACCAAATGTGTGTCCGTCCGTCTAGCTGTACCTCTAGCTATCTGCCCGTCCGTCAGTCTCTACGTCTAGCTTTCCGTCTGTCCGTCTGTTTGTACGTCTAGCTGTCTGTCTGTCTAGCTGTCTGTACGTCTAGCTAGCTGCCCGTCCGTCAGTCTGTACGTCTAGCTGTCTGCCCGTCCGTCTGTCTGTACGTCTAGCTGTCTGTAACACTGTCGTTTCCACTCGATATCTCGAGAAGCCTTTGAGCTTTTGCAATTAAATTATACACAGTTACTCACAGAGCAAAGCATGGACTTTGGCATAATAATCATATGGGAGACCAGGGTATCATTTAGGTAGCCCAGCGCTCACGGTACCTCTAGTTTCAATATTCATCAAATATACTTTATAATATTAATATTAGGTACTCGTACGAAGAATTGACATATTCAGGACGAAGGAATCAAAGATTCACATAATTAGATGTTGGTCAACTACCTCATGCGTATAAGAATATTATTGCATGTGGCAAAAGTCTGTTTCATCGAGATACAAATTTGATGATTTATTTGCCTACAGAACGTTTTATTTTATATTTAGAGTTCGAAGAAATAAAGTTTCCAAAACTTCTAATTTTTTTTAGTATTTTACAATACTGATAAGCTACATAATATTTATTTCATCGCACTAGTCCACAAATTTTTGTGATAAGCACTAGTAAATGTGTCACATAAAATTTAGAACTGTTACCTATTGCGTAATTCGAATACTGGAACACTTGAGAAATGAACAGGTAACTTTGAATAGATAAATGACAAAATGTAAGTATTTGAAAATATAACTATTTTTTCTATCTTATTAATGTTAAAAATTATCTAGCTACTTATAGCTTACAAGTCACCATGAAAAAATTCCAATCTTCTTTATATGCATTCAGAATAAAAAAAATAATGCATCAATGAATACCAATATCAGCCTCACGTAGAAGTTCAAACAACATTTTTTCAATATTTTTTTTAGTAGCAGAATGGCAAAAATCCATTTTTTCATAGTTTTAAAACTGATGTTTGTTCTACAAACGTCGTCCAAAGATTGCACAGCTCAATCGTGCTTAACAAGTCTGTACAATTCCAAAGTTATCTTTGCTGATTACTACGTAAGGTAAGTAAATTTCAATAACATAATGTTTCTTTGTAGTTTTTTAATGGATTTAAAATTTCCCTTTAATTATGTCTTAAAGCCACATAATACACGTACAGAGACAAATTACTTCATACTTTCATTTGAAAATAATTTTTTGAGGGCCATTGTCTTGCAATGATTCTAATACGTGTTTGAGAAGAAGACGTGTCTACAGTTCTTATTTCATCAGGGTTTCATTCGGCATCAATGTAAAAATAGAAATATTAGAACCTGCAAATGCAACATCACAAAAACTGAGAGGGAAGTTTCGTAATAATGTGAATTGGCGAGTCCATTGAAAATTCCGCGATAGACTTCTTGCGACATTCCTGCAAACCTTCAATTTGTAAAATTTTTCCTGCGAATTTGCTGCGAGGAACAGATTGTCATGTTTGCTTCTTGCAATGCTCCTGCGAAGGTTTTAAGTTCCTGCAAATTTGCAGCAATTGCTTGTCGTTACTAAGATCGCAGCTAGAAGCAATCATCTGTGAACAAGAATTCCAATTTTTAGCAAACTTACTGTAGGTCTGCATCAAAGATATCAATTTGGTAAGAGAAGTTTTGTGGAAAGCACAAATCAGGATGATATGAAATAAATTTTTCACATCATTACGCATGTTTGTATATCTTTATTATTTCATTCAGACCATTAGGTGTATCCGGAAGTTCGGGCAGTTTGGGAATATCTAGTGGAGGGGGCGGATCGATTTTGGGGAGGCACGCGGGAATTGTCGTTACCCTGGAAAACTGGGAACGATGGTTGATACACAAGGGGTCTAATTACGGCGATGCTTCCGACACAGTCATTACAGATGCTGATTACATGAGTTCAAGGTTAATATTTCAAGTGAAATCTTTAAAATAGGTGTCTTTGTATATAAAAGACTTAATTCATTTGCTTAGAAAAGAAATGCATTCATGTACTGTGGAATACTAGTAATTTCATTCGTGGGAGTCAACATGGTCAATGGTAAATAAAAATTATCCTGGTTTGCGAGGATTTATAATTTTGTGGGTAGCTCCAATATATAAAATGGACCTATATCTAAACGATTGAATCATGCTCGTGGGAATGTTTCTTATTGGGTGTGGATGATCCCAGGAATACACTAATATTTGGGTTTCCTAAACAACATGTTGAAAATTTTGATTTCTGAATTTTTATTGTCAGTAAAAACAAATTTTACAACATACATGTAACACAATAATACTTTGACGTTTCACATAAAAAAAAATTGCTCTTTATTATTAGGCCCTCAATTCTTTAAGATGTCGTAAATAATTGTGCAATGTTTTAGTTTGAGGTTCATCATTGCTGTCTAATAAACTAAGAGTAAGGCAAGAAAATTCAGTCTGTTACTAATAATTGTACTCTTTTAACAGTTGGAATATGATCAAGTATTCACAGTGGCTTGACTGTGATTATACTGTGAATACGTTCATGCAGAATGCCCTTGTAACGGAACCCTACAAACTGATTGGGGCCAACTGTCAGACAGCAGCTAACAGAATATGGGAGCTTGTGGAAAGCTGTCAGCGCAGAAATGGTATATAAAAGTGGAGGCACTTTTACCTTTAATGTACTTAAAACTTATATTAAAAGATATATATTGATAAAGTCTGAATTAAAAATTTACGTCGAGCTTTTTCGATTCTATTGATTGACTGCTTGTATGTTGTTCCACGTACCATTCGAGAATTTTTCTCTCATATAGAGACGTCTCCTTATAGCACCAAAGGGCTTCGAATTTTGACCTTTATTTAAAACTCAAGGTCATTGAGCAGTGAGGAATCTTTATGCCTGTCGTAACACGAGGCCTCGGTTTTTAAGGTCTTATCCGAAGGATACACAATTTTCACTCCAAAGTGCCGAGCGCTTGGCAAAGGAACAGTTCCTCCCCATTTTTATCGACTTAGGTCATTCGCGGCCGAGATAAAAAAAAACGCACGACCTTCCGTACTTTCTATGGAAGAAATACTAGTAATTCAAAGTTTGAGAATGTTATGTACAGATCTGTTAAAAGTATTATTGATAGTTTCATTATCCTTTTTTGAACCTGTGTGCCTACACATAATTATGTATTTGATGGAAGTTACATTTGTGAGAATACAATATGACTTAAAAACAATAAATCAAGGACGGTCGTGTTAGATGTTTATTTTTTTTATTTAAACTGAATCTCTGATAAAAAGAAAAAGGAAGAAAAAAAGCAGAATAGATGTTTATTCTTTTCCTAAAACCAATGAAGCAGGTGAAATATGACCAAGTCACGCCACAGCGACCCCTTATGTTGTCCAGCACAATAAAAAATAGCATTTCAATGAATCTACACTCACTGCTTTATATTTACAGCCACAGGCGTAGACACAGTTTCAGCTGAAAAATTTCAAATTTATTTTTCCATTTACAAATATTTAACTAAGGTCTGTCTAATGATAATAAGAAATTTGAACTTCAGTTTTCGAGATACAAGACAGATTTGGAGCTCCAAACCTTAATTATGTAAACAGGGTCCGATTCATGTTTTGTTTACATAGATAAATGTACTAATATATTTTCGTTTTAAGTAGATGTTCAATAAAGAAATTAATTCTAAATACAATCAAAAAAGGTTCTAGTGATTTCTGAATTTCAGTTTGGTACAAATATGATATTTTCTATATGTAAACAAAACAATGCACTAGCCTTGTTTACATTTTGAAGAGCGTTAAGTTCTGTATCTCGTTTGTTAATCAATAAATGATGCTCAAATTTTTGCTGATCATTAGATGATACCTTAGTTAGGAATTGTAAGCATTAAAATTGGTTTAAAAATTCAGTTGAAACTGTGTCCATATCTCTTTAACTATTCCGGAATCTTATGAAACACCAATTACTAGTACCTAAGTTTTAGCACAATTAAACTTACTTCTAAGTTACTATACAATACCTCTAGGTTACAACATAATCAAACGCTGCAAATACCAGACACTTATTTTGTAAATACATTGACCCCTACCTATTGTTACCACAATGTACCTATACTAGTGTCAAATCGGACGATTTTTAACATAACCTCCCGGGTACTCGTTTACTTTTCACTTTTCCGATCGAGTAATCGTTTACTCGGATGTTTTTTTTTTTCGCAATGCACCACTTTTTGCAGAAAATATACTCAGAAAAATATATTTTGCTGGTCTTCTTTTATGTTTCTGCACTTTCTGAAGTGATCTATTCGATTTTCCCCTCTTTAAACTTTTATTAAAAGTTTTGGACTTTTCAACTCTTTAAACAATCATTCCTCTTGATATGTAAAACCAGGTTTTTGACGTCGTTGTCAGTTTTTTTAAGAATAAAAATGGAATTTGCAAAATAATTTACTTACCTTATCAATGGTCATTTTCAAAATTATTTTTTAAAATTTAACATTTTGATTGTACATACAAGTACATACATGTACAAGTAATTCGACGTTAATATATAAAACGATACTTAAGTTTCTATATGACAATATCTATGTAGTTTTTAGAGCTCAAGTCTTCCAAAATTCTGTCGGAATTCCCATAGGTAATAATTGCGCCCCGTTATTAGCAGATCTATTTTTGTTTTCATAAGAAGCAAAATTTATTCAAAAATTTTTAAATGAAAAGAAGTCTCTTGCTTTGCCTTCAATTTACCATTAGTATATAGACGACTATTTATCAATTAACAATTTTCATTTTCATTCCAACGTTGATTCGATATATCCCTTTAATCTCGGAATAAAATATACCATAGAGTCTGATCTGATATGCAAGAGGGTACTCAACGGACGAACAATTTCTTTAAAGAAGAAAGCTACTGAAAAATAAATTGATGAAACAAGGATATCAAGAGTTTCATTTAAAGTCATTATTTCGCAAACCCTATGGTCGATACAACAAATACAATCTATCGCTAAATCGAATGTTGAATGACTGTTTTTATATAAATTTTAGGCCATTATTTTTACACTGAAGTATTTGCGAATTTTTTTCCATTTAGCCTATCATGACAAGGAGCAAACTGCGAGTGTGACGGGTTGATAGAGGATTGTATTTTTCTTTCAGAAATTCTTTCATTCAGTTGAAAAGTTTTGTTTTAAGGTTGAAAATGAATTGCTTAATTTCAGAATCTTTTTTCTCCTTGTGCATCTGCCAAAAAATAAAATAATGCAATACAATATCGGAAATTCCAACATTAAGGGATGATTCATAAATAAGAGTATGAATGAGGTAAAGCACTTGAATCAAATGTTAGTGACATCGAGTAAGGAATTCAAAAAAACCCCTCAACACTCATGATCATTACTCATTAAATATAACTCGAGCTCGTCACATGAATTCATTTTCCTCTTAAGGTAGAACCTATGTCGGAAAAATCTTTGTCACAATATTTTAACACTTTTCGAAATAAAAAATAAGCACTCGCTTATCAATCAGTTAAAAGCACATGACATGTTTCCTTGTTAGTAAATATAGTACAGTCCGTGAAACTTGGAATGGTAATTCCATACTGCGACGTTACGTTATAAGTCATTTTTAGGGGCACTTGTCATAAAGAGAATATGAAAAAAACCTTCTTTAAACATCGTCGTTTTAGACTTTATTATAACAGAACAGTATTATACAATATTTCTCAAGAATAATTTTTTTTTTCAATTGACATAAAATAGTAAAAATTAAGCCCATATATAAAAAAAAATGGTAGGCAAATGAACTCTATTTTTTTTAGTCAATTTTCCATCCTAAATTTGTAAATGTTTTTCAGAAGTCTTTGTCACAAATTTTTTAATCTTTAATATGCTGAAGAACAAGCTGACATAATAACAAAAAAGTGATTAAAATGTATACCTTTCAACACAAATTAACGAGAGACAGGTTATATAAGAATTCTACTTTTCTTGATCTTTTTGCACTTACAATGGGTTTATTTATTAAATGACTGTTTTGGGTTACTTTCAGATTTCCGATGCAGATATTTAATTTAATTAAAAATTGTATTTTTCTTAAAAAGATCATATTTGATAAAAAAAAATGTAATCAAACAACAACAATGAAAAATATACATGAATATATAAGGTAGAATTCTTCTCTGGTTTCTGACTAGATGAAACATTAAAAGTATATTTGCTTTTATTGCATTTTTACCCGTAAAATACTGTAATTTATTCATTGAATAAAAATGATATCCTGCCACAGTGTGATGAATATCAGAAGTGCGGTAGAACTCTCTATTTCCCTTCCCATAACGAAGATTGCTGTAAAAAATCTTCCTTGACCTAATATAAGATAGATGGAAATAAATAAACCATTCTGACAGCGAATAAAACTGTCAAAATTACCAAAAATATGTTGCTAAATCCATGTTTACAGTGTTTTCACCTCACATAGCTATGACGTCTCAACCGCTCAACTATGACGTCATGAGCCTATGACTGTATTACAAAAAGACAGAGGCAAAGGAAAAATCAAGGATTTTTTTTTTAAATGTAATAAACATAAAATTCAATGTTTTGTAGTTGAATATGGAATTTATTTCACTCGTGAGACAGGATTTTTTGATATTTTCACTCATGCTTCGCACTCGTGAAAATATAAAAAATCCTGTCCCACTGGATTCAATATTCCATATTCAACTACAAAACATTGAATATCCTCTATATATGTCTAATATATTGAGGTGTAAGGAATTTAAAAGACCATATTTTTCTTTCCTCATCACAATTGTACAACTTTAAATAGAAATGGTAAACTGCGTTTGAAAACTAGCAGGGACTATATTTTTGGCGGAATGGTGGCGTATGAAAATATCTTCTTTTCTGCCTTTCAAAATTATAATAAAACAATGAATTTAGTTATAATTTTTACACAGTCGAAGACTTGGAGAAATTTTCAAATGTAAGTTATATTAATAATATAAACACAACTTATTGTGATAATGTATATGGTATGCAACTATTTCGAGGGAATGCAAAAATCCTTAGAAATCTTCAGTTCACAACTAAAATAGAAAAGTAATATCGTGATGAAATGTATCTGAGTCAAAGATGTGTTGAAGATTGTGTGTAAATTTTGTTATGTTTGTTATGAAGTGATGTGCATTCTTATTCGTAATTATTTGTTAAAGCAATATGAGCTGCAACCTTGATGTCGGAATTTTTGTTGCAAAATTGTGAATAACTATTTAAATGACAGAAAAAAAATAACGTTAATAAGCTTGTTTTGTTCATATTTGCGATGGAAGAACTATTTATAAGCGTCGATTGAATCAAAATTACATTATTGTCGTACTGTACAATAATGCTTTCTTATATAAAACTGTATATTGGATTTGTATATAGAAGTCTTTATTCTGCTTTATTTTAGTCTATTTGATCATAAGGTGTAAGTTACACACAAATTTATTATGATAACACATTTTAACAGCAAAATAAAATTTTCAAAAATGCAGCTCATATTGCATTATAGCAATATGAGCTGCATTTTTGAAAATTTTATTTATTTTATTATTTTACAATAATGTAATTTTGATTCAATTATTGAAATACTGTAATTTATTCATTGAATAAAAATGATAATGATAATGATAATGTTAATTCATTACATGAAATATAGTCTTAAATTTTTCCAGACAAAGTCAAGGTCTAGTAAATGAAAGATGCCTACAAGTTTCTCTTATTTCAGGAATGTCATTTAGCTTTACAACCAAAAATATATAAATAGAAGATATACATATTAAGAGAATTTTGGCATGATTTTAAAATTGTATTCCATAGACGTAGGTTCTACTTTAAACCTCTTTTAATATAACTTGTTTTTAATTTCAAATCCTAAACACTATTCTAAGTTGGTTTGTATTCCTCTTACTAGTATATGGAAATAAATAAAGTTGACTAAATTATAAAAAAGATCGCTTACAATTTTTTTTATTTAACATATTGACATCCCAATAAAAGTTCCATCCTGGTTATTTTTATAGCCAGAATTTAGTACATTATCATTACAGAAAATTGTCGCTCCATTCATGGAAAGCTCGACAACAGTCAATCTGGGTTTTTGCACTAGCTCCGCAAATTTCTTGAAACCACAGTTTGAACTCAGCTTCATTCTTTTGCAAATACTTTCCATAAACTTGGGGAGCCTGCAAAACATTATTTTTACAAGTTCAAGTTCAAGTTGGTTCTGTCTAGCTATTCAAATCTGGCATTGACGAATTCGTACGCATTTTGAAGGATATGGGGATAACGAACTGTAATCGATACCAAAGTCCATGAAACAATACAAAATAGGAGCAAGACAAAAACGGACCTCTAAAATATCAGAGGTGGGATCAAGTGCCATATATTTTTTTTTATCTCACAAAGAAAAAGATATCAGAACTGTACTATGATACAGACCAAACTAAAGCCTTTCTCAGCCAATCTTCTACCATATACCGGTCCTACTCCGGGTATTGCAGTTACTGGCTTGAATGCCATCGACTCGTTGATGAAGATGATATATTTCTTGCTTGTTGAATTCACACTTTTATGAATATTGTACGCAATACATCTTTTAAAGATGTTCTGCTTCATTGTAATATTATTTAGTTGTTGGATATTTTATACATGAGACTCCAATACGACTTAAAAAAACACACGAAAAGTTTGATAAAATACTTCTTTTTTTTTTTTTACCGGATTCGTGTTTATCACATGCGCATTATTAAACATTGATTTGTTTTTTTAATATTAGCAGCTTGTCATATTGCTTATTAAGTATATGTGTAAGGATTTCAAGGAAGTCAAAATTCGTCAAAAATAGTTTATCTTTAGCCTTGTTTGTGTAATCTGATTTATCGTCCTCCAAATTTATGAGACAAATATTGAAACACCTTTCCAGGATTATATATTGAAAATTTAATATTTACATTTACATGTACAATGCCTTTGTCCGATATAAAATTACAAATTGTAAATGTACTTTATTTCCCCATCATTGTATTGGTGTGGTTCCAAAAAAAAAAACCACGTGCAGGGCGGGACAAACAGCTAGTCAGAAGCAGGGCTTGGAGCACCTGGATTGGCGGAATCAAAGCATGTAAATATAAAGAATTGTCAGATTTTAAAAAAATGTGGATTTAAGAAAAGGTGTCATTTTATTATGAAAAGAGAAGTATATGCTCCAAACATGTTTTATTATTAGTTTTCGTGTATTTAGAGAGATTCATTAGAATATGTACATAAATCAAAAGGAAGGACTACCAATGGAAATTTTTATGTTCGAATTGCACCAAGTAAAGTTAAGCAGATTTCTTGCAAGGGTAGACCAAATATCTGTGACATTGGGATTTTTCCTGTGCCTAACGACGCAGTTGCATATAAGCTTAGGGAAATAAATTATATTTTGAAGACAATAAACTGAATAGAACTTTTCCATAGGTCATATTAGATAGATCTAAGACATGTGAGATATTTTTATTCCCCAAAACACATGAAAACAATCAAAGGAAGATTGTACAATGTCAAATATATCATGGGAAATGAGATTTGTCAGTGCCTTTGGGGCATTCCTAAAGATGAGTATGCTGAGGTTTTCTTTCATGGATACAAAGACATAATACATGTGTAAAGGGTAACAGGGAATGCCTTGAAGGATTGAAACTCAAAAGAATATGTATTATGTACTTTTTCATATTTTTAGATGACATGATGCATTAATTATTAAACGATCCTCGTAAAAGATCAGCGACTAGGATGCGCTATGTCTTTCTATGACGTCCCATTTTTTTTGGTGAAGTTTTTGATCAGATTTTTTCAGATAAATCGTTTCTTCGCTGATTGTCCCGTCCCCCGTCCGATACAGGGTCTCTGTCACTCAAATACAGAGACTTGTATTTATATGATACCGCCGTGATTTCTAAATTACTAAAGGTTGCGGTTTATCAAGAATTACAATGTAACTGTATCCATATGTACATTAAAAACATAATTCTTCAATTTTAAAGTTATACAGACAACAGGTCAGGCATCAAAACTACTCATTCATTTAGTCTTCACTCTTTTCTTATGTACTTTTATTTTCAAATTACTAGTAACCCTGTTCGGGTGGTTATAGTGTGAGGCATATTTAGCGAATGTTTATTTTAAATAATATTAGTAAAATTTTATTTTAATTTTGGTGCAAATTTAATTGTTATGCCCAATAATGTAATTCTTTGAAAGAAATAATGGAAAATATTGTGCTTTATTTGTTGCTAACGTATTTGAAATTGACCAAAAGAACAGTCTTTTGTAGTACCAGTGATAATAAAAGGCTTTACATTTGTTCTACAATTAAAAAAAGCGTTAACACGTGTAAAAAAAAAAACTACAACAATTACGACGAGATAGAAAAGGGAGACAGAGTGAGACCTATTCAACAAAGCGAACGTTCGAGAGCGCTCGCCAAATTTCCTTCTACAAGATTTCCGACAGAAATATTCGATGGCACTCTGTTGAACATGCCTCCAGTGTGTCGTGAGAAGTCCAAAATCTGGGACAATGATATACAAAGTACATCTAATTAACATTTATAATGTAAAGTAGACACTCGTATGAAGAGAAGTCGATCATTCATTTTAGCTATTTAAATTTAAATCAATTTAAAGATAACAAAACATAATAAGATGAGTACGCCAATTACGTTAAGTACTTACAAAAGAATTATAGAAATCGTATTTTCTATAAGCAATTGCTAGATTGGTTACAAGTGTTACAAATTGGTATGGTTAATTCCTATGTACATGTATATAGAATGCTTGTTTTAAACGAGAACTAACGACTCGGTGCTTAATTTGTCTAGCAGTGATGAGTACGAATGCATTTATAAAGTACCATTATTTACACATCAAATATGGATGTTTTTCTATGTTTTCCCGACTATGACAAGGAGCTCGAGCACACGACGAGTTCGACCGTTTGGCATGGGATGCTCCTCAAAGCTGACTCCAAAGCACCTGAGCCCATCTCTGATATTTTGCCCGTCCCTGATTTGTTATGTTGAGCTTGAATCCTGTTCGTTATCTTTATTCATGTATATTGTAGCTGTTGTTTGAACAAATGAGATATAAATTCTGTATGAGCAATTTTTAAAAGACATTTTAGATGCAAAAATATACTTGTTCTGAGAAATATAAATCAAATGCGTTACTTTTTTCCAGACATATTATGAATAGATACTTGGCTATTTGATATTAAGAAGCATTTGTTTAACATGTTTAAGGTTTCTATTCACGTTTTGGCAAGTTACGAGGATCTAAATTCTTTTTCCTGTTGAATCATAGCCCTTGAGCTTACTGTGAATCTTCTTGTAGAAAGTCGCCCATTTGAAAATCTCTGCATCAACACTCTTATTCTACATACTGTAAGTTGTTTTAATTCCCGGTTTTAAAATTTCACGATTTCTCCAAAAGTACCAATTGCGATGGTTTTAATTTCATGCTTCAAACAACTGATTCAAAATTTAGTATAAGCATTTAGATTTTTTAAAAAATTAATAATTACGAGGGTTGATCCAAAAGTAATGTCACAGTGTCCATATCTTTATAGTTGGCGTCATATTATCAAATATAATATACCAAAAGATGCACAAAGATAAATCGAATTAAACTTGAATTTTTCATTCAATAATGTTTAACTGAATTTATTTTATAGATGCTTAAAACATAGAACACATGGGGGGTCGCCGCGTCACAACCAAACGTCACAAATTAAAGTGTACTTTTTTTTAATTAAAAAGACAAACACATTAAAAAAAACATCTATTAAAAGCGCCTTATCACAAAATATTTGAAAAGACAAAAATTTACATCATTTTCTAGCCTTAAGTTGCAAAAGTATATGACATAATTGCTAATTTTTATTTAAAAAACATCGTTGTTTTACTCCGGTGCATTGCATTGAAAAAAGGGAAATGTCGAAATGAGCAAAGACAGCCAGAACAAACTGTAATGCATTTTAGCTTCAAAATGGAGAAATCATCAGAAGAGACGGTAACGTTGATTCACCAGTCTCACAGAGGGAAAATGTAAATATAAGAGACTTGTTTAGATAGTTTCAACGATTTTGGATGGGTGATGGGTCATTGAATGCTCAGCAGATGACAAGAAGACCGAAAGATGGGAGGACTGACGGAAGCGTTCAATGGTGTGTGGCGTTGTCAAAAAAGACAGACGGTTAGAGCGATATGTGAAATTTTAAGTTGGTCTTATACTACTGTTCAAATAATTTTGACAGAAGAATTAATTATGAAAAGAGTGAGTGTACGATGGTTAGCAAGTTTTCTTTGAGGAAGTGAAATTTGTGAACGTGTTTGTGGATCTCTCATATTTTTTAATGAAACGAAGGGAAGCGTTTAAATGTACGACGTCGCGTATCCGTCATATGGCGTTACCTACATGTAGGTGCGGCGACTACCATAATCACAATTTGTATATAATCCGATATTTTGAAAAGTATAAATCATGCTGAATTGAAATTTTCAGGTCTACTTTGAAATAAATGTAGCTTTCATCATTAATAATTCTGTTATTTTACGTCCACGGGTAGCGATTTTGTCGAAGTTGTGAGATTACTTTTGGATCAACCCTCGTACATTCTTAATGGCTTTAATTTTGCGGAAAAATGATAAATCATGAACACAGCGAAATTAAAACCATTATGATTATTTGCCAATCTACAGTATACAATGAATCACAATACTGATACTTGTGCTGTAAATTTGAAAAAAAAATTCCCTATCGTAAGGACAGATAATACATTTTTTTTTCTTTGGGGAGACCTTATATCATGTCACAATATGAAAAAATCAGCAATATCACATAGGCTGATTTTTACAATTTTGCTTTTCCTAATTTATTTCATCTGACTTGGTATATTTTTCTAAAGTTTATATTACACTTTCAGCACGAAGGTAACATATTCTGATTTTTTCTATCTGTGTACCTTTACTGAGTGTGTTTTGTCCATATTTGTAATTATATTGAATTATTACTGATATTTTCCAAGTCTATGTCATTTTCCAGTTCTTATGAGAAAAAATTCTAAGAATTATCCACTTTTCTAAACTTGCGACAAGATATTAAGTCTCCTCCAAAGAAAAAATGTTTATATCATCTGTCCTTAAATACCCGTAGCAGATGATACAAATTAAAGTTACATCTACGTTATGAAGCATTGCATAAAAAGTTAAAATCAATGTTTTTGTTATTTTTTTTTTCATTTTACTTTTTTAAATAAAATGATCGAGAGGTTATTTTCACAATATTTATTGTCCTACTAAAATTGTGTAATAATCAGTAACTGGTATTGCAAACTAGCTTTTCAATTTTTTTTTTTTTTTTTTTATATTTTTTGAATATTTTCCTCCCTAGGAAATTGTATTTTACTGTAGACAGCCAACACACATGATAATTTTTTTTTAAATAAAACATTATCAATTAATTAATGAATTATTAATGGAATTCAAAAACCTTGAACGTTATCCATATGTGACTGATAAAAAAATTACACTGATTTTTTTCAATTTACATAGAGCACACTTCTGATGTGTTAGTGGTCCCATTTGCTGTTCTCCAATTTGTATTTTTTAATGGTAATGGATTTGTTAGGTTAAATACCGTTCGTTGTCTCAAAAGTTCTATATATATTCTTAATTAGAGGAATGTAAAATCATGCATAAAAAATAATTTTCGTTTATGAAAAATACTTAATTATAAATGAAATATGATTTGAATACCGGTAATTGTACAACGATTCACAATAACTACTTGACAATGAAGTAGAAAGAGGAAACACAAAGCCACGAATGAATTGAAAAAAAATATCTACAATTAATCTACTTGAATAAGTAGGAAATTCATTAAACAAAAAATACTAATTAATGAGAATAAGACTCACTGTATTAACGGATCTTTCAATTATTCATTCATTCATTATTTAGTAAAAACAGAACTATGTTACGGATCATCGCTTTATTTGTGACATTTCAGAGGATTATTTTCCAATCAAATGCATACGGTAAATTGTAAATTTATTTAACTTACTGATTTCCTTTTTCGATATGTTTCTTGCCATGAGATTTGTCTCACTGATTTCATTTTCACATATATTTTCAGAAAACATTGCCTTGAATAAACCGTCCTGGCAAAGTAAGCAATACGAATATTATCCAGGTGATCCTAGAACACATGCAAGTAATGGCGTCGACGGATTCAAAAAGGACCTCTCATCTACAGGTGGACAATGCGTCATATCCGGTAATAATCTTCCCACTGCCACCTGGTGGGTAAATCTGACATCAATTCTCAGTATACATCACATCACAATTTACTACAGGACGGAAAATATTAAGTGGGGTAAGTAGAAAAATGGCTTGACCATACCAGTATATTTTTGATAAAAAAAAGTATGATGTCTGATATCGGCCTTTCACATTCAATGCATTGTCTTCTACTTTGTCATTAACTTTAAGCTTTACCCTATTTGGCACATATCCTTAAAACTGAACACGACTCGTGATTAGGCATTTGCCATATGAGATTTTAGAATCTACGATATCGCACGAGGGTATACCCTTTGCATTCATTACACCTGACTACTTTATTGATATGGATACCGGCAGTGGAAATTCCATATTGATTGTAACACTTAATTCAATTATATCGTAAAAATATACAATACGTTCCGAGAGAATAATTTCTAATGCATCTAATTTTGTCTGCAAAGTTTCATTCAAAATATTTATATTAATATTTGAGCAATACACAGTTTTTTAAGGAGTCATTTCTTTTTCAGAAGATTTAAAAAGGTGTGAAAACTGGGTTTTTTCTAATAACATCGAAATTAGATACTGACACTGAATGTATATAAGACTTAGAAAGCAAAATGCAGTAATTCAACCTATCAAATTTTCTAACATACAGACCAAATACAACATTTTGACAAAAAAGCTTGTCTATATGGAATATGATATGTAGATCATTCAATTATGCTAGAAAATGGTTCCAAAAATTTGTCACACAAGTACAATAATAAAATGTCTGTTCTAAAGTGTCTTCTTTTTTACATAATAAGCATTGTGGTGAAGTTTGAATTTTCATTTGAAAAAGTAGTTTATTAAGTGATAAATATCAATAACTTACTTTATACTAAAAAGACTGCAATTATGTTTCATTAGAACACACAAAAGGTAGCATGAATTTTTTTCCCAAGAGGATGGGTGAAAAATTTGCGCTAAATATTTTCTCCCGTTTTTGTACACATGCTGGTACTTCATATAAATTTTCTACTATAAGCAAGTAAAATATTTTCTTGACTTTGAGATTGAATATTGTTCGTTATCTCCACATCCTTCTTTACAAGAGATTTATGACAATGGATTTATTTTATCATTGAATCTTAAGATCAAAGAAATTCTACTGAATGAAACTTTTTGTATTGTCTTATATATTTTCGCCAGTGATATGAAATCGCATTTCTTAAACAAAAATATTCAAAAATTTCTTAAAAATAAAACACCAAAATCTGATATATTAACAATTCAAGTGATATCTAAAAGGACTAAATTCGAAATAACATTCTTTCGTATCTTGCATAGACTTGGTCCAATTTTTGGTAAAAGAAAGTTTTATTTTTGAATAGATGTCTACTTACTAATATATTTAAAACAATATCATGCTTAGAAATGACAAGTATAAGAGTATATGAAAATCCAATCCAAGAATAAAACATTCACTTTTTAATGCATGGTTTTAAAATTTTCTCTCAGCTTAAAACTGCATCTGCATTTTGTGTTTTTGTTTGTTGGCTAAAACTTTCCCGTTAAAAATGGCTCACATTAATCTATGCATGAATTAAGATTTAAAATATTTATATTTCAGGTCCTAGTAATGGATTTACAGCACGATTTCTAGGATTTTACTTATACGTATCGAACACAACCTACAGAAATCTACAAAAAACAACAAACAAACTAACAAACAAACAAACAAACAAAAACAAAAATCCCAAAATAATAAAGCAAATGAACAAATCAGTGAGAAGAAAATGCATACGTAAGAATAATAATAATAATAATAATTAACTTCTAATGATTGTTCGATCGTATACTTTAGTAACAGGGTGAAATCAATAATACAAGAGGAATATAAGTGTGTACTAAAGTGTGGCTTAATTTGTGTCAGCATTGGATATAATTAAACATAAGTGTCGCAAATAATGGATTGGGAGGTGAAAAACTAGAACTCGTAGGCAAGATCTTGGTCACTTGGATATTGCATGAGAAAACTTTTTGAGAAATTAGAATCTTCACAACGTCAGTAAAATAAATGAAGTAAGCTGAATTCGTAATTAAGTTCGTGTTTTTACGGGTATATACATCTTCATCCTTAAATAAAAGTATAATTACAGCAAATGTCTAATTAGGTCTTTCCACCTTTCCGTGGAAAGACCTATTGGTATTCTTCTGTTTCTTATTCTTCTTATTTTTCCGCCGTGTGATTTTGAGTTTCAAGATATATCAAAGAGATTTATAGTCCATAAGAATGTACTCCATTAAATATTTTTGCAGTTGACCCTGCGTAAATGAACCTTCAGCTTTTCCGAAGTTATTGCCCCTTTTGCAAGAAATGCCTGTTATCACTAATCCTTCGAAACCATAAACCGTAGAGGTATGAAACCTTCACCAATGTCTTCGACTAATTAATGAGACTCTTCAATCTATTCATTGCAAAGGCATTCGGTGACCCCTTCAATGAGTAATTGCCCCTGAAACTTTTTAAATTTTACAATTAATTTAATTTTTTTAAAACGACAAGTTATAGAGATATGGGACCAACTGCAAAAGATTCATTGACCTTAAAATTCATATAGAGGTCAAAGGTCAAGGTCATTCAAAAAATGAGAAATTAAGCATTTTTTATATCTCTTTTGTCTTTTAACATATACTAAATGTCTATGTATCATTAATATGTATTTTTAAAACTGTTTCACAGATTTCATTCTTGTCCCCTAACATGAACACATTTAAAAGTTATTGCCCCTTGTGCGAAAAACCTTGTTATCGCTACTCCTCCCGAAACCGTAGACAGTAGAGGCACCAAATCTTTACTATCGTCTTAAGGGTCTTTAGGCCTAACTTCACTGTGTAAGTGAGAAATGATCTGATGACCCCTTATATGAGTTATTGCCCTTTAACTTCTTTGTACATACTATTAAACCTTATAACTTAAAAACTATAAGTCATAGAAGCATGAGGTCAATTGCATTGTGACCCTTGACCATTGACCTTGAATATTTTTTCAAGGTCAAAGGTCAAGGTCATTCTCTTATTTTTTATTTTTATTTTTTCTATGCTTTAAGACAGTTTTGGTTTCTTTTTCATGGAATTTAATTTTTTGGAGTCAGATATAAAACAAATTTGAAATTCAAAGAAGGTGGAAAGACCTCTTATTGTTCTGTGAACAATAAGTCTCCTAGTTTTCTTTACATTTTGTGTTTGAAAGTGTTGTTATCACTTGTATATAAAAATATTTTTAAAAGCAGTTACTACATACATTTAATAGAGAAAAGCAATATTCGAAGTGTCTTATCATATCTGACGTAAAAGGGGAAGCTTTTTTATAAAGTGTTTGCTTGTCAGGTTGTCCAACGTCTGGATATTTTGGTCCTGATTGTTCCCTTAGATGTCATACAAACTGCCAGGAATACTGTAACATCGAGACTGGGGTTTGTTTAGGATGCAAACCAGGCTATGTTGGTCAATATTGTGACAAAGGTATTAAATGAAGAGTTTGTTATGCAATTATTGTCTTAATAAATTACAAACATGCATTATATTTTGCAGTTCTCTAGTGCAAATCTATTCAAACTGTCAAGGTTTCGGAAAATGGGACCACCGAAATATACTGAGACTTGATAACGAATTGATTTCTTATTGAAATATCTTTTCAGAATGCAGTGGAAGACGTTTCGGACAGAATTGTGAAGATTTTTGTGGAGACTGTCTAGACTTTGAACAGTGCCATCACGTTAATGGGAAGTGTCAAAACGGATGTGAACGAGGTTATCAGGGAACCAGATGTACTGAAAGTAAACATACCATTAGATTTATTTTTGCTGTAAACATAAAAGTAGTTTTATTTTTGGTGATGATCAGGCATTTGTATTGTAATAGCCCATGATTTTGCAGTGTTACTCTCTGATAAATCTTTTGCCTACGTTTTAGTGTGTCCAATTGGATTCTATGACAAAAGCTGTGAGAAGAAATGTAGCCCGAATTGCCTCTACTCCAACAGATGTGACTCGAAATCCGGTGTATGTCAGGGGGGCTGCAAAACGGGTTGGGAAGGTGTCCTTTGTGACAAAGGTAAATACACAGAGCATGGTGTTAGAAATCCTGTTTCAGGGAAGAAAGATTTTGAATATTGGTTCCTTGTGTCTATGAGCATAAATTATTTTGACAAATAAGTCCCAGGAATAAAATAGATTTCTTCTACAGTCCATGAAACGTTCTACTTTCCCACTTGAACGTTGAACAAACGCCGAACGAACGCTGAACGAACTCTGAACGAACGCAGAGCGAAAGGTGAGTGAACGATATGTGAACTGTGAACGCAAGTTAGTGAACGATGTGTGAATAGTAAACGAACGCAGGACGCGAACGGAGCGCAAACGCGAGCGCAAAGTTAACGGTGAACTAATAGTGAACTCAAGATAAACGATTTATTTGGAACTCCTCTGATCTTTTTCTTGCATTGAAACTATTCTATTGTATTCTAATGTCAGGTGCTAAAATATAAATAAACAATTCATAGATAAATTAATAGATAAATAATAAAATAAAATAAATTTTACAAAATTTTCCTCAGAAAATTGATATATGCATATTAAGTAAAAAAAAAAATACTGTTAGTTTCTTACGATATTTTCTACACATATATGTAATTAATCAAGAAATAAATTAGATGCTTGTTTCCTTATATCTTTATAAATGTCATCGTAACCTAAGATTGTCTTTGATTGTTTTTCCCATTTAAAATACTTACTTTATTTTTTAAAATTAAACATACATATTGATAACTTATACAAAATAATTACTTATACAAACAAAAAAACTTTAGGGAACATCGATTCAATTGCTAAGATTTTTTTACGCATCCCAAAAATTGGTTGATTTTCATATATATCGATAATCGTATCCCATTATCAAAGTATCGTAGTGCGTTTCGTTTATGCTTCCTTACTAAACTTAATGACTTAAGAAACTAATGACTCAACACTAGGACAATATCTCGATAATTTATAATCATGATCTATTTTGTTCATCTTTTACAATACAGTGGATCTTGTTTTTCTTATATACTTTTATTTCTTTTTCTTTGAGTAAATAAATACATGTTAATATGGTGTGCATTTTTAAAGTATAATTTGAATTTAAGTTTATGCACAAATCGGAAAAAATCATTGATTCTACTTGTTACAGACTGCAACAAGAAGAATGGAACGAACTGTAACATACGATGTGGACACTGCCGAGGAGGAGCCGTGTGTAATCAGATTAATGGAGTCTGTCCCAATGGATGTGCTGCGGGATACATGGGAGAAAGTTGTACAAGAGGTAGCAACCTAATGATAGAAATATCAACGAGCGTTGTAATGCGATGTTTCTTGATATGAATTATTGCATTTTATAGTTGACATATTCTCAACCGCCAATGCTTAATACCCGCTCAATAAAAAAATTATATGAGTGTCAATAACGAGAATATTATCTTTTAAGGCAATAAATTATTACAAGAATATCTCATGTTTACTAATATCTCTCATTGGATATTTTTTGATATCCTACAGTTGTGACGTCACAATGTTTTTTTGTGGGAAAATGGCGAAGTAAAATAAAGTTCATTTCTGTATATATTATTGAGTGTTTTTATCCCCTCACCATGCTTAGGTATAAGGACACAAAAATCATATCCAAACACAAATCATGAAAATCCTATATGTACACAAAATGAGAAAAAAGTATCATTTTTCTTGGCAGAATGCGACAGTGGTTGGTATGGTTTGAATTGTAAGCAGAAATGTAGTGCATATTGTAACGATACTGGAGTTTGTGATCACGTGACTGGGTCCTGTAAAGATGGTTGTAAAAGTGGATGGCAAGGAGTGAATTGTTTTGAAGGCATGATTTCATTTTATTTCTATATGTCAATTTATTTTTTCTGTTTAATCTATATTTTATCAGATTTCTTGCAATTTCATTCGCAACGCCAAAAAATGTTTATCATACATGTATGTGGACTAGATCATTCAGAAATAATTTCATAACACTTTGATAACTTGTGGATAAAATGTTAGGCACATATTTGTTTTAGTACAGTTAAACTTCAAAATCTAGAAAAGAACTCAATTATCAAAATATTCGACAAATTGACTGTTTGATAAATCAAATTTCAGCTTTTGTAATAAGAAAGACAAAACAGTCAATAGTGCCTTTGAGATATAGATAATTTTCTGTATTTTTGTAAGAGAGTTCTGGGAAAAAAATATATGAGAACAAAAAGCAACTTATGTATGAAATATTTTGTCATTTTGTTTTGGTCATATCCGTGTTTCCTTGAATTATATATTTAATTTACCTTGACAGTAGAAGCAAACATTACTGGTAAAATCGAATACGTTAATTCAGTCAGCACCTGTGATTCACCCCACGTGCTTATATCTCTGTTCTCTGTCAGTATTTTGGGCAGTTTTCTGTTGGCTGGGTATATTATCTATCTAAGGTATGTATCAGTTATTTTAGTCCTCGAAATGGAGGTACAGTCACTTGATATAAAGATGTTAAGTATACACTGAAAGATGTTGACTCCTTAAGAAAAAAATGACTGGATATAACGTTGAAATAAACATGATAAACATAAAAATACTCTTTTTATGTCATCTGACTAAACACATTTCATTTCATGCACTGTTCTCTGGCCCCTGTGGTCTGAGGGGAGGGAGCCAAATCCACTAAATTCAATGCAATCTTTAAAATCTTTTTACTTTTGGTTACATGATGCCTATGTAACCTGTAAGGTCCATAGACCTCTTGTTCATATCATATCTTGTATCAGTTCAAAACACCAATATCAGCCAAATTGCTGATACAAGACGTGATACATGTATATGAAAAAGAAATGTATTACTTTCTGATATTCTCTGTTCCATAAAATATTACCCTGAGATCATATTATTGATTCATGTATTGTAGAAGGCTATTTTGCTAAATTTTAAAAGTAATGACATGAAGAAAAGTGACATTTTATCTAATTACAGGCGGAGAATGAGTCAATAACCCATGGTCAGTAATTCACAGGAAGACTGTGAAAAATCCTTAACTGTCGAGAGCGGAAACCAGAAAGAAAAGATGTACGATACCCTTGGTAGCAATACCAGTCGTGCTGACGAGAAAGAGGAAGAAATCGACATGCCTTTGCAAACAGCCTAGTGGATGTATTAACATGATAATACATGATAATTTTCCACGAATGAATCACGCTGTTTTAAAGAGCAGCAAGCATGCTATTTACCAGAAAATCCTTTGATCGCGCTACTGTTGATACATATTTTATGCATGAAGAATGGTAAAATACGAGATACGCAGGCTTACAGAAACATTTCTTGAATAATTCGATGTATGACGAAGTGTTCTTATGTAAATATGCATCTTTTTTACTTTTATAGAGTATTATTTACTGCTGTGACTTTGGATGACCGTTTTAGGAGTCAGTGTAGCAGATAAAGTTATATCAGCCTTTATAAACAACTCATTATGATGTGTTGACTTTTCTATCTAAACATGTAATTTGTATTTATCTCAGATAAGTGCATATAAAAACATCAAGTATGTATTTAATAAATTTTATTGTGGCGAAAATTGGGCACGGCTGTTTATCCAGAGACACAAATTATGAAAAGCTATTGGTGTCTCTGGCAACACAACAAAGCAAATATTACATATTAAATATTCAAACTCAGGTTCAAAGTTCAAAGGTCAAAGTTCACAAACACCATAGCAGAAAGTGGTAAAAGCCTTGACCCTGGGAGGTGCAGAGGTCAAGCACTTATTTATGTATATCTAAATCCAAAGTTTACTTTTCAACTTTCATGAGTTACATGACTGCATATAAGGATATTTACTTAGTGCCGCTCGTTTATGCACATCTCAGCTGGAAAGAAACGGACAGCCGTACCGGATACTATAAATTCACATTATTGTTTAATGTTTGCGGTTAGAGGAAAATTATTGGCTCCTGGAAATGATGCATGACTTGCTCTTGGGATGAATCACTTCCATATAAATGGCTGTTCCTCACATCACTTTCGCATTAAATATCTTGAAAGTCCAGAATGCTGTGAGTCCATCGAGATACTTGTGGTTCAATCCCCTTGGCAATGGCTGTTCCCTAAGGTCCTAGTTTCATCCCGTAAGTCCTGTCATGTTGAGCTTGATAATCACTGTAAGTCTTCGTCTGAAAGCATTAAAAAACCAGAAAAGCAATATCTATTCTAAATGGGTGAGGTGGGTGGGTGCTTCATATTAATAATACACAATAACAAGCTGGAAAATTTTTACCGACCCAAGATGATGCTGGAATATTGAAAAAGGAAGTTGCAACCAAAGCGCCCTCAGGTGTTTTTATTAAAAGGGGGAATGATCAACTAAAATATTTTACAAGAACGATAATCACTAGGAATAAGTACTGAGATTTAGGTAAAGCATTTAAATATGCACTTCCTTCGATAAAAGCAGCTAATTCAGAGTGAATTAGCTTTGAATATTATCTCAGATAAGTGCATATAAAAACATCAAGTATGTATTTAATAAATTTTATTGTGGCGAAAATTGGGCACGGCTGTTTATCCAGAGACACAAATTATGAAAAGCTATTGGTGTCTCTGGCAACACAACAAAGCAAATATTACATATTAAATATTCAAACTCAGGTTCAAAGTTCAAAGGTCAAAGTTCACAAACACCATAGCAGAAAGTGGTAAAAGCCTTGACCCTGGGAGGTGCAGAGGTCAAGCACTTATTTATGTATATCTAAATCCAAAGTTTACTTTTCAACTTTCATGAGTTACATGACTGCATATAAGGATATTTACTTAGTGCCGCTCGTTTACGCCACAAGTTCCCAACCACAAGTTATTGTGGTAGGGAACTCCGCCACCATATGGGTGGGGGTAGAGCGGCAGAAGTAGCCATGCCCAAGCCAAAACCTATCATGATTGATGAAATTGATTCCCTGTAAAATTAAACCTAACCCGAATTATACATGGATTCGATGTGATGACCCTAATAAAATAGTATAGATTTTGGCTATGAGTAGATCAAAGAAACATGTACGCATGTCTATCACTACACATGTAGAAACCAGGAATATATAAGCAAAATACATAATTGAGAAACAGATTAAATATTTAAAATCTATTTTATATCTGAATTAAAAGGAAACTGTACTAACCTTATTACTGTAAATTACCTATTTATTGGAATACAGCCGTACATGTATATCAAACTAACCTTATGAGAAAACCGGAGAAAACGAACGTTGTCAATCCAACTCGGATAAGTATACATGAGACCATACAAAGGTGAACATTTTATTGAACTAGTATCCCCTGAATTTCTTTGAGTAGGATCATGTGCTTGAGAGAAAGCATTCCCTAATGCCTGTTGAAATTTGCCTCAAGCCCTATATATTTTGATTGGCGCAATGGGACATTGTATTGAAATTTAGAATAAAAACAAGGGCCTACCAATTGGTACGAAACGTTAAAGTATGACCTACTTATGGGTTAAATCTACTAACACGGTCAGTAAAACGGCAATAAAATTTACAAAATCTAAACTTTAAAGAAGGTTTATCTGTGTTTAACAAACTAAGTTACAATTCTGGTTAAAGCTATACTGATTAGCAAACATGGCACAATACGGTTGATTTAGAAATAATATTTTAATATACCATATAATGGTAGCTAGCTTAGGACACCCTCACCACTAATATTCAGAGTTGGGAAATATGCCACACTTCCAGCAAGAAAGTAAATAATGTTCAAATTAGAATTTGTACGAGAAGTATGTCCAATCAATGACCAGTTGGAGCCATAAAAATTAATACTCAAGCATTTTTGTGATTCTAAGGTTTTGCCAAAAATTAATTCCAATACACAATTGTAGACTTAGTGAACACTAGTGATCTTTTATGCTTCGCTGATAAAATAATATATTCTTGTAGTATATGAAATTAAAAGTAAATATTTGCACAAAGCATAATAAATTGTTAAATTATTTGTTTTCTAAATAAATAAATGATAATCAGCTGCACATCATATTTCGATTGTATGATGTACATGTATGTGATAAGTTTCATTTTCATAAAAATTGAAAAATAATTAGAACATGTAAAAGACTGCAATGAAATAGGTGCAGATCTAGTAATTTTGTAGTGTGTGTACATTTTGAATGTTTAGTGTATGTAAAGGATGGAATGTTTTGTGTTGTGTATGTTTAAATTAGTGTATGTAAATTAAGGGCTGTATGAATTCAAATACACCAAGGGCAATGGGCAGCCAGCAATGAGCATGCCCCAAATCAAATAATCAAACATCAACAACACATATTCATGACATTCAAGATATTGTAGCTAGAGGTGATGATTAACATGATTAACAGTTGATGCATTGTGTATGTTTAGTGTACATGTATGTAAATTAAGGGCTGTATGAATTCAAATACAACAAGGGCAATGGGCAGCCAACAAGAGCATGCCCCAATCAAATATTCAAACAACATCAAACAACACATATTCACAATATTCAACATAATTCATAAGCTACACATCAACAATGTAGCTGGGAGGTCATGATCAGATTTTTTTTTTTTTTTTTTTTTTAGTAAAAATGCATTGTTTATGTTTATTTTATGTAAATTAAGGGCTGTATGAATTCAAATACAAGGGCAATGGGCAGCCAACAACGAGCATGCCCCAATCAAATATACAAACAACACATATTCACAACATTCAACATAATTTATAAGCTACATATACAATAATGTAGCTGGAAGTTCATGATAATTTTTTTTATTTTTTTTTTATTTTAATGCATTGTGTATGTTTAATGTATGTTTATTAAGGGCTGTATTCAAATACAACAAGGGCAATGGGCAGCCAACAACGAGCATGCCCCAATCAAATATTCAAACAATATCAAACAACACATATTCACAATATTCAACATAATTCATAAGCTACACATCAACAGTGTAGCTGGGAGGTCATGATCAATTTTTTTTTTTATGCAGTGTGTATGTTTCCTGAGGCATGATGCAAGATGTAAGTGTAAAATGCTCTGTGTGAGTAGTTGTTTTATAAATTTATATTAATAAGAATTTTTAGATGGACAATGGGCTTTATTTTGGAGGATTAATGTATTCAAAATTGATTTTAGTGTAAAGGCTATTATAATAATACTTGTGCAATGTGCAACCTATAGATGCATGCATGTCTAAAACATTCATGAACGATATTTAAAAATAAACATTGTTGCTAACAAAGGAATCAGCTAAATAGATTGTCATGAATTGAAATTTTCCATTTTGTTAAACTGTTTAGGCCGTCTCTACAGTCTAGCACATCAGAGTTGCATTAAAAGTATGATTCAGTGTTTTCCTTAAAAACCGAATACCAGGCAAATTGACCGCTTCAATTGACAAAAATGTTGCTTTGAAACAAAATTTATTGTTAGGTACTCGACAGATAATTTGTTCATAAACATCAGCTCCTAGCATGTTACAACTGATCTCTAACCCCTTACTCTGAAATAAGGGAAAACACTGTATATGTATGGTGCCTAAACTCGTTAGACACTACCTATAAATTTAAAGAGAGGTTAAAAGGAGATATAGCAGAAATAAAACTGCTTAGTTAGGCAAAACCGTACACCAGGAATTATCATCAGATTCTACATGTATGAGGTGTTCCAGATTTCTACATGAGCACAACAGTCCTGCTGGAAGTGAGTATAAATTTATCTGGCTAGAATTTGATAAAACCATCCAAAATATTTAAGAGAGAAACTTTTAAATTGTATTTAGAATGTACCTTATTTTTATCTGAAATCCTTTTTTTTTAAAAAAATAATTTGTCTTTGAAAATTTTTAAAACAGCAAAAATGTGAATATAGGGCTGATAAGGTACATATTCGATTCCTGACCTATAGGCTGCATGATGAATTGTACCCATTTGCTTGTCACAATTTGCAACCAGTAATTGTTGATGACAGAATTTTAAATATCGATCTGAATTGTAATTTATGAGAAATTTTTAGATTACTCGTCCTGCTGGGCGTCAATACATATAAATTCGTGCATCTCGGGCGGTCAGGAGCACGGTTATTTCAAACACTGTTGAGAAACATGTCAAGTGTCAATTATGGTAATTT